GCGCCGAGAGAGAAAGAGGAGAGAGAAAGTTAAAATGAACACATATTACATTGTAATAGTTTTAATTTTATTCACCAGTATATTACAAATTAAAATGACTTATAATTAGAACTAGATGGAGTATGTGTTAACATGTGTCGCTAATGGATTGCATAGTGAAAAAGATAGTAATTAATGTGGAATAATATGAGCCCCCATTTTGTTAGCATTTTCTTGCTAAAAAGTTTTGCATTTCCCTTAAAATTACACTTTTATCTCTATTAATACGTACACATCGGCTATTACGAATTTTCATTATATTTTTTTTATTGTCTCTATAATTGATCTAATTCAATCATATTGTTATTAGAGTGAATCACAAAACAGTCATTGAATTATTTGATAATTTCATCAAAGCTTATAAAAAAAATTTAGGGAATATTGGTGAATACATCCCAACGTGTACCCTCTGCTAGTCAATTCATTCCAAACTTTTAAAACGAAGTGATTATATCCAAAAAATTTTAAAATTCTGCGCAACCATCCCATGACCTATTGCTAACCTGGAGTAACAGGTAAATTTTACTTAATTTCATATATTTTAATTAGTTCGGTATTTACTTCTTTTGCCAATTATTCTTTTTTTATTTTTTTCCTTTTTATTTGAATATGGTTAATTATGTCATTCCATCACCTCATCTCTCCCAATACTGTTACCATTACTGAACAAAACACTCAGTTTTCAATCTGTTTGGAAATTTTTTTTATGAGTTTTTCATAATAATTTATTAATAAATGTCCAATTTCAATATATCTTTTACATTTCCAACACACCTTTTACAATGTCAATACAAAAAATACCTAAAAACACACACTGAAAAAAGTTTCAAACACAGGTAAGGGTTTCAAGTAATGTTTGAAATACGTGGAATCAAAATCCACCATTCATTAGATATTAAAAAATTTAAAAAAATTTAAAAAAAATTGCTTCTTCATAACAAGGTCACAACCGGGTTTGGAAAAATTATAATAACAAAATAAAACCAAAGAGAGAGAGAGAGAGAGAGAGAGAGTTCCAATTTTGACCTGTTGTACTAAATCAATTTTGTGTTGTTTCAGGTCATGGAATGGTTGTGCTCAATTTTAAAAACCTTGGGATATAATCAATCAATTTTAAAAGTTTGGGATGAATTGGCAAGTAGAGGATAAACGTTGGGATGTATCCGCCAATATTTCCAAAAAATTATTTATAAAACATGACCCTCTACTGAGCATAAAATCCATCTGAGGTTATTCTATTACTTTTGGCTAATAAATCATAGCGAAAAGTTATTTTTCACATGCAAAACATGCGAGTTGGCTCCAGGAAATTTTTTGTCACTTTTAATTTTTTTTTTAAAAAAATAGTTTTCTTACAATTATTCTTATATTTCTTAACTTATATATATTGATACTAACATGATTACTAAATTTTAAAAATTAATTTACCTTTTGTATTTCAACTTCTAAATTATTTAAAAAGTTTAAAAAATATAGAAAATGATTAAAAATTCAAGTTAAAGTAAACATAAAAATTAAGAGTTTACCATTTTAAACAAAAAGAAAAACAAATACTAAAGAATCAGTTAGGACAAATCATTTCTCCTTGACTCCTTGTAATACATAAATCAGTTACGAAATATAAATTTTACTCATTTTATCTTAAAATGATTATTTTGCTCACTATAATTATTATTGTTAATTACGACTGAAATAATCTTTGTTTTCTTATACCTGATTTTTTTTGTTTCTTTCGGTTTTTATATTCTCAACCAATCTTAGTTCTAGTTCGTCACTGTTTTGATTTCTGTACAAAATAAGAATCGTGTTTTTAATACATGCTGAAAAACAACAATTTTGAGAGAGGATGAATTTGTTTTAAGAAAATTATAATCGTTCTTGAATTTATTTCTTTTATTACCATATTCAAAAAAAAATGTATAGTATTTTATATTTGTGATAATTTACCAACATAAATTTAACTCAATGAACAAAATCATGACTCGCCAAGTTATCTTGTCACAAATAAAAAATAATAGAAAAATCACCCAACTTAAAATGACATGGATAATTGCACTCAATGGTGACCATGCGAAGATATAGAATGTGTTTTGGTTTAATTTTTCTGTTTGAGTTTGAGATGTGATTTAAAATGTGTTTTGAGAAAAAATTTAAAAAATTGTTTGGATAGATTTTTAATTAAAATAATATTATTTTTTTACCACCACCGGCCACCTCCGCCACTTACTCCGCCGCCGGACCACCCTCCTTCCCCGCCCGGCCGGTTCCTGGCCAACTCTCTGGAATTTGGCCAAATCCGGCCGGCCGGTCGCCAGCCGGTGGCAGCAAGGGGCGATCTGGCGGTGGCAGGCGGTGATGGAGGTGGTGGACGAAAATTGTGTAAAAATAATTTTTGAAATATTTTTTAAAAGGTAAGTTAAAATATTGTTTGAATAGTGTATTAGGTTTTGTGTTTAAGAGATAAAATGAGACAAAAAAGCAAAAATAGAAGTTGGCCAAACAAGATCGAAACTTTTTTTTTAGCCTTTTCAGAAACACATATGAAGTACATTAAATGTTTGTCTAATGTATTTGCATCTCAACGTAATAATAGTGTTACAAACAAGATCAGTCATGATCCACACCACACTTAGAAAGGGTCCATGAAGATTATTGTAAGTTGTATTTAAGAGATGTTGGTTGGGCCAAGTTTCAAATACAATAGTATTTTCTTTTTTTGTTAATAGATAATAGTATGTTTTATTTGGGGCCAAGAGAAAATTTTAAAGGGTTGTAAAGTAAACTTGTACTCTCTCCGTCCCATAATTATTATCCAGTTGGTTAACATGAAATGTTTTATTTTTTATCAAACTTAATTATATTTTGACTTAAATAATTGAATATATCCCTGCATAAATATTTGTTTAACCGGCAAAGGTCTGCGTTCCTTCTTTCTCACATTAGCACCGATAATTCAAAACCCAATTCATATATTCAATCAAAATTCAACAACAACAATTGAAGAAAATACGGCCTTATACTCTGCCTCGGAGCAGAGGAAGACGTCCAAAAGCTTGCGAAACCATTCAATTGACAGCATTGGTGCCGGAGCCAGTGGGGCAGGCGGGTTGTGCTCTGATAACGGAGATTCAGCGGCGGAACTTGATGACGGCGTCTATCACTATTGTTGTTGTTGTTACCGTCTTCCTTGTTTTTTGGTGCAGAGGAATGAACAGAGCCCGGAGCCGGAGTGGGAGGAGGTCAGCGAAATGTTCAACGGTGTTCTTCTGGAAAATCTCGAGGTCTTCGAGTTCTTGGTCGTGGGATTCCATTATCGACGGATAAGTCCTTGTTCCTGAATTTGGTATACCATGTATGGCCGGAAACATTCTTGAATTTGGTTTTGAGGGACTTACACCCACATTATACCTTGGTGGCGCCGACGGGAAAATCACCGCCGTGAATGGTCATAGGGCGGCGTCTCTGAATCTCGTCCCGATTTATTCTCTTCCCAAGACGCGGCGTCTTTGGATCTTGTCCCAATTGATTCTCTTCCAAAGACGTTGACAATTGCTGATCTCTTGCCAACTTCAATGCCCGGTTCGAAGCTCCGATTGCTTACCAGGAGTTCCGATTTACAGTTCAAAGCTCTAGATCCAGTGAAATGATGTTTTTAATTAAAGGACAAATGTGTAAACTTAGTCCATAAAAAGTCAAATTGGACAATAATTTTGAGACAAATTTTTTTTGACAAAGTGGACAATAATTATGAGACAGAGGATGGAGTAATTCATAAGGAAGACTTGGATCAACTTGTGCACAATATCCGATCAAAGATGAAATCAAAGTCCAGACTAATTTTAACCAGGAAAAAAAATCCAGAATTCCAGACTATTAGTTCAACACTTCAATGGGGTCACAATTTGCCCTTTGGTGATTTTATTTCGTTAATCAACGTAGTTGTTCCCTTTTTTGTTTTTTCTTTTTCTACTGAATAACGTTCTTTCTTGAACTTGGTTCCGTTGTGGTTACTGGTATAATAAACCGGAGTGGTGGAAAAAAAAACTCTGAAAGACAAAAGATTTTCTGTGACACTTTTGTGTTATATTCTATGTGATACTATTTAAATGGTTAACACTTATTTAATTACTTGCTCAAATAGATTCACTTTCTATTAATTAGGTTCACTTGCTTAACCACGAGTCATTAACTAGTGTCACACAAAAATAATGCTGAAGATCCAGAAGTGAAAAACAATATTCTAATTGATGTTGTTGTTCCCAAGGTTTTTAAATAATTACTAGTAAGTGTAAGAAAACATTGACCAAACTTTAGGTTATAGTCCCATAATCATCATTTAGAAATCAAAAGGATAGTTGTCGCTAATTTTTTTGTGCAATTATAAATCTGTAGGTGCTTATGTGTGCAATAATAGAAGATTATTTCCGTTCATTTGGCAAAACTTTGTCTCATTCCATGTCAGTTTATCAATTCTTTTAATTTCAATCACTTGTAGACATTTCGATGACGGTTAGAAAATTCTGAAAATAACTTTTACACATATCCTGAATTCTTTGTGTCATTTTCTTACGACATTCTCTGTTGTATTATTTAATAATTTTGTATAAATTTTGTCGAAACTCCAAAACTTCTTTAATTTGACGAATAAATAGATTCAAATCGATCATTTGAACGTCACGAAGTACACATATTATATACAAGTTCATATAACTTTTTTCTTGAAATTCAAAGGAAAAGATCATGCAAGCACAACATTGTTTGCATTACTTTCATTCTTTTATTTGATTAGTGAGGCTACAAAATGACATTCAAAATGTTGTCCTATCTCCTACTCCTAGTGAAGCCTGAAGAACGCATAAAAGGAGGACTTAAATGTTAATTTTCCAAAGTTTGAGAGGATCAATTACAAATATATAAAACTACTAGTCATTTTTATTTTTTTGTTTTTTGAAAAGTCTACTAGTCATTTCATCTTCACGCACGCTGGAGAGACCCAAAAAAAAAAGTGAAAATGGCAGCTCTAGCTCGATTGTCAAGAAGAGCCCTAGCCACCACCGTCGCCGCCCATAACCACCGTATTGCCTACCGGAGTTTCTCCGCGGAGGCAGCTGCCGCGTCAGCGCCAGTGACTAAGCACATCCCAATCAAAGAGGATCCGGATCGGGTCAAATGGGACTACAGGGGGCAGAGAAGGATCATTCCTTTAGGCCAATGGCTTCCCAAGATCGCCGTCGACGCCTACGTGGCTCCTAATGTTGTCCTCGCCGGCCAGGTTACTGTCTATGACGGCGCCTCCGTCTGGAACGGTGCCGTCTTGAGGGGCGATCTTAACAAGATTACTGTTGGGTTTTGCTCGAATGTGCAAGAGAAATGTGTGCTTCACGCTGCTTGGAATTCTCCCACAGGTTAGTTTTCTTATATATATTTATTTTGGAGTTTTCATTTTCCTGCGCATTTGCTTTTGAGGAAAGGGGTTTAATGGTATTGGAATGGTTTAGAGAAAGAAAATTCGTAAAATTACAATCTGGGTAACAATGGAATTGCTAACATTTGTATCTCTTTTCAATTTCTTGTGCATTATTTGTATTTTGTAGCTGTATTGACACAATGAATTACTTGATTCTCGCTCGGTCTTGCACTGAATTGTGCAAATATTAGCAGTTCTTAACTAGGTTTATTGGTGCAGTTTCATTTCCAACCCTTAAACATGTACGAAACAGCTTAGGACTTAAAAGTGTATTTGCTGTAAGTTGTAGCAATTTAATACTTCCTTTCGGCCATTTAGCTAGTGAAAAGGTTGTAGGAAATGTAGCTTAGTACGTTGTTATGGTGTTATTTGTTCAAAACTTTTGTTCAAACACCATGGTTGTGATGAAGAGCTGTCCCACTGTGGTAATTTCTTCGGGCACCTTGATGGCATTTATCTTCGGTTTCATAGAGTAAATAACCAAGTTCTAGCTTAGATTAGAAGTATGCTGGTGTCTGTAGGGTTGTGTATGGGCGCTCGCGTGCGTGTGTTTGAGATTGAACTAAACATACCTTATGTTCTAGTAGATATCATTTGAATAAGAAGGCTTTTGAGTGCTGTCAAGCTACTCATTCTGAACTCTTTCTAAGTGTTTTCTAAGTGAATAACATATTTCACTTAGGCACTATGCAAACGATGCGGAAATTAAGCAATTTAGCTTTGGTTTGGAGTTAATTGTCGGGATGCTGGTAAATTCTGAAGGTTAAGGCTGTGAGTTATCTTGCTTTTTCCTTTTTCGTAATTTTTGCCCTGGTGGAAATAGGATGATGGACCAAAGAGTCTAGGTCAATCTGTTTTTTTTTCAGTCACTGTAAAACTCGAAATTTGTGTCCTATCCACTGCTATATAACCAAAGTCTTTAATAGCTATGAAGAATGTCTCTAGAGTCAGGCTGGAGTACTTATATTTGCCTTTAACTCTTTATTTTCTGTCTTCATCTGCTTGTGTTCTGCCCAGAATAGTCTTCTGTCATAAAAGCTATTCCGAGTTGGATGGCTTCATTGTGTAAAATGAGTTTCTGTAAATTGCCTATACAGGTACAAAGGCCGAAGTTAAGATTTGCTCGTGTCAGCTTCAAAATATGAGTAATCTGTTTATTGAAACCATCATCTGTGTATGTGTCTTGTGATCAATTAGATGAACTATGATGTTTGACTTTTACTTCACAATTTGGCTTCTATGGCGAAATTTCTGGGGTTATATGCAATACATCACCATATCATTAATTGGTTATTGAACTTTGCATGTTCTCAGGCGTATGGTCCTGCATATAACCGTTCTTTGTTTGAGATCTTTTGAGTAGTCTGGAAACCTTGAACCAGAAAATTTGATTCCTTGGATCTTTTTTATAGTATTATATGTGAACTTGAAATTGGTTTTCTGAATGAACCAGATGTATGCATTCATGAATCTTAACTTTGTGGCGGATTTGATAAAGTTCAGTAAGTAATGCTTAAAGTTGCTCCCACAATGCATGATGTAAAGTGGTTCCTAACCAATCTTAGCCTTAACTATTGTCTAGAGAACCAAGAAGTAACTAGATCATAGCTATACATTTGGTTTCTTTGTCCTTAGTATATAACGCGGTAGTCATCATAGACATCGGATGTGAAGCAAATGATTTCTAAATTCTGCAGCAAGTAGTTACTTTAGCACATAACTTATGGCCTTTTGTTTTGTCTGCAGGACTCCCAGCTGAGACATCAATTGAAAGGTTTGTGACTATTGGCGCTTACAGTCTCTTGCGATCTTGTACAATTGAACCTGAATGCATCATCGGGCAGCATTCTATCCTTATGGAAGGTTCTTTGGTGGAAACCCACTCCATTCTTGAAGCAGGATCTGTCGTTCCTCCAGGGAGAAGGATACCGAGTGGTGAGCTCTGGGCTGGAAATCCAGCAAGGTTTGTCAGAGCATTGACTCATGAAGAGATAGTGCAGATCCCTAAACTTGCTGTTGCGATAAATGATCTGAGCAAAGGCTATTTCTCTGAATTCCTACCGTACTCAACCGTTTATTTGGAAGTGGAGAAGATGAAGAAGCAGCTGGGAATTTCAATTTGAAGTCTTTTCTTTTCCTCCATGTACTACTCACTGTTAAATGCTAGTTTATAATTGGAAAATAAGCCGTTGTAAGACAAATGTACCTACCTGCACGACACTCGCACGCTTTTTTGAGCTCCTAATTCTGCATTGAGACACCAACATGTTTGGTGTCGTCCGGTTTTATTCTTCTCCTGGTCGCGCCCGATTTTCCTTTCTTCCTCCTCAATTGTATTTGTGATTGCAGACTTTGTGTTGAAGATTGGCTCTGAGTTGTTTTAGTCTGAGAACTTATAAGATTTGGGAGGTCAAAATCAGCTTCTGAGGCCGTAACCTGAGTTAAGGCTGCTACTAATTGGTTCTTTACCGTGGTTTTTGATGTTGAGAAACGTGAAGAAGTGATCGCTCTCTCTTCTATGACAAAGTATGCCAGCAACTCTACAAGTATACATCTTTCTCTCGTTCAAAGTAAAATGTCAAGTATTCTGCCAACTAAAAAAAAAAAAGTCAAGTACGAGTTGACTTCAGTATCAATTTCTTATAACCAGTATCTCGGGATCCCCTGGTTGTTTGATCGGATTCTAAAACTTGGTCGGAATTCATTTCCGGAAGGTGATAGCGCTAACCCAGCAGCTGGCCCCGGCCTTGTATGTACGTCCGCTTTCGAAAGTTTGTATTATCGGGCTTGTTTTCTATTTAAACAGTCCAAGACAATAAATGCCTGAATTGAGATCTCTTTTGCTACATCGTTTCTTGTCAAAAATCAATGTCGTCTCAACTAATTCAGATCATGTATTGAAAGGGCGAGACTCTTGTAAACTCATAAATTCTGATAGATCTAAATCACAACAATTACCACATCAAAAGTTCCTAAAGTAAGTAATCTCTATGTCCTAAAATTCTTGTCCAATTTGAGTTTTCACTTCTAATACAATTTAAACTAAAAATGAAAATCCAAATTAGACAATTATTTCGGAAAGAAGAGACTAGGGAGACTCTCGTACACACACACACACACATATATATATATATATATATTTTGGTGAATTTAATACATCGATTACCCCATCAAAAGTTCAGTTACGTTTAACATTTTTAATATGGCAACTGAATGAACCATAAGTGAAGACCTGATAAGTTGGTTTCGACTTGTGAGGCTCCTTTTATCTATTCTTTTGGTACAATATATAATAATAAGAGGTAAAGTCTGAAAATTAAATGATTTTTTTTTTGGGTATCTTTTATCTCTTTTAAATATGCTTTAGAGAATAAGTCATCTGTTACCATTTTCTTTCGTAGTTAATGTATGTTAGACAATATAGCTTTGCCACCCGGCCAACAAAGAAGAAGAAGAAGAAAGAGATAAACTATAAACCTTTGCTAGAAACACCTCGACAGATGCAACCCACCTAGGATCATATTGTAGACAGATAAATACAGATATACGACTAAATTAAAAAAAATAAGGCACTTTTGCGGTGTTCAACTTGATTAAAGTCTTGAAAAATTCCAAGTCACCGCTATAGGTTTCTATTGGTTTTAAATTATATGGTGGAGTTGACGAAGAACACCTGCGAAAAAGAAGCCTTTAAAGCCTACACCATATGTATTTTAGAAGAAGAAGAAGAAGAAGATGGAAATAATCACATCATTACAAGTTAATGAAGTCATCAAAGTTTGAACAAATATTGTATGATCAACTTACATATTCTCTCATATGATTGAAAACAGTGTTAATACAGACGCTAAGACAATATGGAACTAGTCTAATGTCTTTCTGCATAAGTTATGTCATTCACTAGCTATTTCATTTGACTGGTAGACGGGTTGTTTATATATATATATATATATATATATATAGATATAGGAAAAAAACCCAACCAAAATAGTAGGGGAAAAACTTCAGGATAACCATGCTATTAGTAATTAGGCTAACCATTTTGTTGATAATCCTCCTCAAGGTAATCAACAAGCTTCCACATGAAGACCATGATGATGTAAACTCACATTCAATATCATCGCTTCAAACAAATTCAAGGTGGATAGTGAATGAATCGGGAAAGCGAGTGAAGTTGGCCTGCGTGAATTGGGCGGCGCACTTGGAAACCGCGGTGGCGGAAGGGCTGAGCAAGCAGCCGGTGGACGTGATTTCGAAGACCATCCTGGATTTAGGGTTCAACTGCGTCCGGCTAACTTGGCCGCTTTCCTTGATCACCAATTATAATTCTTTGGGGATTTCCGATCAATTTACCGTAAGGGATTCGTTTCTGAAGGCTGGACTTTCTCCGTACATTGCTGGAATTCAAGTTAACAATCCCTCCATTCTTGATCTTAGCCTCATCAATGCTTTTCAGGTAATAATTGTGTTTGTTATATAAATTATATTATCATTAGAAAAATTCAAATGCATTTTATATATCACCAACTTGAGATCTTGATGTTATAATTTTTATCCTTACATATTTCTCTATCGGATAATCGGCAAACTTTCCCCTAAATGTATCAATTTGCACCATATATGTAATTTCTCCTAAACCAGGAAAGCATGCAGTTGAAGTTATTGTTCATATCAATCATTCATGATTCATCTAAATGTCATACCTTATTCCGGGCTTGCATTCCTTTTTGAGTTTTTGTCATTTGGGTTTTGACTTTTGTAATTTTGAGTACATGGAAAAGGTCGAAGGAGACTAGTAGGTGTGGTTACTTTAATTAAGTAGTTAGAATTTCGGTTGACTATGACTTGTTATGCATTTAGTTTACATAATGCTAGGGGTTGACGTGCAATTTCTTGGTAATGATTACTCTTTTTTTAATATATACTTTCTTTGATTACTATAATAAATCTAAATTATAAGAATACTTTTTTGTTTGGTAATGATTAATCTGCATTCTAATGCCACTAGTTTTAATTACTTAGATATTGAGACGGTCCAAGTCCAACTGCCGAGAGTTAACGAGAACTAGTGGTTTCATGATTAATCTAAATTCTAATAATACTTTTCTTTGGTAATAGTTAATACAAATTCAAACACCACCAGTTTTAATTACTTAGATAATTTTTTTAGAGGGTCCAAGTCGAACTGCCGAGAGAGTTAACGATAACTAGTGGTTTTATGATTAAGTAGCTGATTTGATTTGTAAAATTTAATCTTAAATTTGAATCATCAAAATGGAGCGGCCGGAATGAAAACAATCTATTTGCCTTCCGTCCAATCTTAAAAATGCATGGAAGATAAACATTTTACCATTAATTCGAGAGGGATTGATCAATTTGTGTGTATCTGCTCTGTAGGCAGTCGTAACCAGCCTTTCAAACCACAAAGTGATGATCATCCTTGACAATCACACCAGCAAGCCAGGGTGGTGCTGTGGCGGTTCCGATGGGGATGGCTTCTTCGGCGATCAATACTTCAATCCTGACCTTTGGATCAAAGGGCTAACTACGATGGCCACCATGTTTAAGGACGACAAGTACCTGATCGGAATCAGTTTAAGGAATGAATTACGAGGGCCTAAAGAAAATGTCGATGATTGGTACAGGTACTACTAATTCACTCTCTATGATATTTGTAATGTATAAGTAGACTAAATTTAATTTAAATTTGTGTTTTATAAATCAGATGAGACGCAAAAAAAAAAAAAAGAAGTATCTTATAACTTAAATTCACGATAGATAAATTGTACGCTAAATGACAAATCACAAAATTACACTCTTTATAAATTGCGATACAATAATTCGTGTTATATTAGTCACTATTTCATTTCAGACATTTAAAAAAAAAGCTCCTCTTATGTAACGACATTTTGGTGAAATGTGAACTAATTTAAGGTATATGAAAAAAGGGGCTGAAGCAGTGCATGCAGTAAATCCAGATCTTCTCATCATTCTTTCCGGGCTTCACTATGATAGAGATCTCTCATTCCTCTTTCAAAAGCCACTCAAGTTAAAATTCAAAAGCAAGTTAGTCTACGAGGTTCACTGGTACAGTTTCTCTGATGGGCATTCTTGGGCCACAGGTAACCCAAACCAAGTTTGTGGGCAGACTGTGGACAACATGAACCGAAAATCTGGGTTTCTATTGGATCAAGGGTATCCTCTGTTTGTAAGTGAGTTTGGCTTGGATCTAAGAGGAGGTAACTGGAGCCATAATCGATACTTCAACTGCTTTATGAGTTGGGCTGCTGAACGTGACTTCGATTGGGCTATCTGGACAGTTGTTGGAAGTTATTATGTGAGGAAAGGGGTAGTTGGTCTTAATGAGACTTATGGTATTTTCAACTGGAATTGGTCGGAGGTTAGTAATCCGAGCTTGCTGAAAAGGATCTCTGTTCTACAAACTCCATTTCAAGGTTAGTTTACAATGAGTCATTGGATTTCTTTCACCAATAAGTGATTTTTCTGGTTGAAAAAATGATCCAGATAGCGAAATTTAATACAGAAAGAGTATAGTGGTTCACATGACATAACTAAAAAGTAAGATAGGTGTTAGTAAGAGTGATTTTTTATTTTTTATTTTTTTATTTTTTTTCGCGTTTCAATCTCTCATTTCATTGTATATTTCACATTAACTTGAAAATTGATAAGCCCAGTGGTTTGATGATTTTATTCACTCATTGTAGAATTCTACTTGTACGAGGCAAATTACTGAAACAAAGTGTTTTATTTTCGAATTGCAGAACCAGGAGTTTCACCACACAAAATCATCTTCCACCCCTTAACAGGGCTTTGCATCCAGAGACAATCAAATTTAAATCAATTGAAATTAGGACCTTGCTCTGAGGCTGAGGTATGGGATTATAGTCCTGATCAGAAAGTATTGTCAATAAACGGAACAGACCGCTGTATAGAAGCAGCTAAATTGGGAGAGCCAGTAAAACTTGGGATAGTGTGCAACCAAAAAAGTTCTAAATGGGAGCCGATTTCTGAATCAAAAATGCATTTATCTTCCAATCCTCTTCAAGATGTAAATTATCAAATTTGTTTGGACGTTAATTCCAACAATGTTGTTATTTCTAGCACCTGCAAATGTTTGAGCAAAGACAATACTTGTGATCCCGCGAGCCAATGGTTCAAGATAATTGACAGTAGTTGAGGAATTAAACTGCTTACAAAGTCCAAGTACTAACCACAGTTCAGCCAAGCAATCCAAGAGCATATTCACGCCACAAGATCTAGGGTTCTACAGCAAAGATGTCATGCTTTTAGCACAAAGATGTTCATGTCTTCACTGATATCGAAACACTCATAACCCCAGTTCTGATGGAGCGGGCATTTATCAATGTGTCCTAAAAAGTCGAAAGAAAGAAAATTTCACTAAATTCACAAAGGACACACCGTAATAGAGCTCCCTTCTACTAAACTTGTATATCAAGGAAATTGATGAATGTGTACAAATTATTCCTTTCAACTATCACTTCCTACTACACAATAATTATCAGCGATAACTTCCGCCTTCTCTCCACCTTAATCACCCTTAATAGTAGCCGCCGCCGCCGCCGCCGCCGCTATTTTCTGGCTCCCTCATCTCTACAACACAAAGAGGAAACATCTTCAGTCTAACAGAGTAGAACCATCAACACATATAGATAAGTAGGGTGTAACAGATCATTTTTATCATATCACAACACCAAGAAAAACAAAAGATGTGCATGTTGGGGTCATTAGGATCAAAATCAGGACCGAAACACAGACTGAATCCTAAACATCACAAAATGTGGCTGTCACCAACTAGCCCTAAAGGTAGCAAACTGAACAGACAATCCTATATAAGTTCATTTTTGTTATCCATTATAGATCTATCAGAACAACTCTGATCCAATAATGAAACATGAAAAAGTTTTGATCAAGTAGAAAGGTTACCTCTAGCGAACATAATTAGGAAACAGTCGCTCAAGATAGGACTCATCAGTATGTATAAAATATCCCGGAGTGCACTTACCACCAGTTCTCCTGCTATCACAATCAATAAACAGATTCAGCATGAGGCTTTGAAGCGAATGAGTTGCATCATAAAGCAAGGAGACAAAATTTCAACAATGACGACTGCTAGATTTTGCATTCTTTTACAATCAGAAAAGAAAAAGAAGAGGCTTGACGAAAGAACATGTTAATCCACCCCCTCTTTCAACAATGAATCTCATCATAACCATTCAATATGATACTTAAGCACTCAGCAATGTCCTCTCATTCACTGGACAAGCAAACTTCAGACATTATGACCATGACAACAGACTAAGCTAAGAGAAACAAGCTCATTATTCACCAAACGAAACACAAGATCCTCCACTCATTCTCCAACATTGATAAGACCATATAAAGCACATAGCGAGATCACATTAACTCAACGCACATTCTTTAGCTAATACACCCGAGCTATCACCAGATACATCAATTACAAACACATTTGAAATATTTCAGTAAGCAAATAAGCATTGTTACAAACACGGGTCATAAGGATTGCACAACAGCTACCATGTTAAGGCACAAAAGGCAACTCCAAACTCTTAAGACGAATCAGAAAATAAATAAGCAAACATAATAAGGTTCAGAATTGTATTAACAGGGAAGAAAAATAAAAAAACATAAAAGTTCCAAGGACCAAAATAATATAAAGAATACCATTTGTACATAAAAAATGTCAGTAGTTGGTTGAACCACCATTCCCTTAAAATGAGTTCATCTCCAGGCAATACGTCCGCCTCTTAACCAACATCCTAGCAGCAGTCCCGAAAGGTTCTTCAAATGAGGCAGCCACCCAATTCGTATCAGCTCCAACTTCTTTTTGAGGCTGCTCACTAGGCCTAATGGCAACCAAAGTAGCACCCTTCAACACCGTCCCATCAGGCAAATCCAGGTGGGGGGCATACCACAGCCGCATATTAAGTGCTGGCACCAATGTTCTCTTCGATGCAGAGGATGCCGACAAAGGCTTCACTCGGAGCTCCTCCAATTGCTCCTTGTTCATGCACAAAACCCCTTGACCATCTACATCCGTCAAAATCAAACTATCCAGAGTCTTGTGCTCCGCAATTATCGGCTGCAGTAAATAATGTCTCGCTGATGCAGCAATCAAAGAGCTTATCGTCCACACAACTCGTAATTTCAAACCCCCATTCGTGTAAAACGATTCTGGTATGCTCCCGTTATCGCCTTCATTTGGATTACCAGAACCATTGTCCTGATTACTTTGACTTGCAGGTGTACTCTTACATTTGTTGGTAATCGATGAGGCTCCGAGAATGACACAATTATCCAAAGTGGAACCGAAATCGGCCCGCCATTTGAGCAGAACTCCATCGTCTATGCCGAGCTCACCCGAAGGAAGTTCGATCCGAAGGAACTTGATTTCGTTGAAATTCCTAAGCACCTGAGTCGGTGAGTGGTGGGTGACACTGTTATGGTCGGCATCCTCGTCGTCGTTGCCGCCACAGCCGTGGCTCAGCGAAGAAATAGATCTTTTGTTAGAGTTTATGTACTGCGTCAAGGACTGAATCGGTTTCAGGATCGAAGACAAGAAGAGCCGTAAGAAAGAACGGGAATTATCACCCGCAGCTGAAGCCGAAGACGACGAAGCAGCCGGATTGTTGGCGGCGGCGGCGGAGGAAGAACCCGAGGACGACGAAGAAGAAGAGGAAGGATCGTCGTCGGAGATAACACAGTCAACCCGAACGACAACGTTTTCAACCTGGGGAACCAGAGAGTGAAATCGCTTGGAGACGACGCAGCAGCGGCCAAGAGCCTTCACATCGCCGATCTTGTTGAAAATCAACAAGAGCAGCGAATCGGGTAACGGGTCGAAATGGTCCATGGGTTCTTCCGGCTCCGGGTAGATTCTCGTGCTCAGATCTACCTTCACTGAGCTCATCCTTAAAGATAATGGATCTGAAAGACACCGAGCTAAGATCTATAAGCTGTAATTCTTTCTCCAGTAATGATCTGAAAGAAAGAAAAATAAAAAGGGAGAAAAGTAAATGGAGCTGAAGTGGAGAAATTTAGTGGTGGAACAACTGGGAGCTGAGCTCCGGTGAGAGAGGCGGAGGAAGGCGGAGGAAGAGTTAGGTGAAGATGATGACCGGATGAGAACAAAAGGGGGAAAGAAAAAAGAGTGGAAGAAAGAGATGAAGAAAATGAGGAGGATATTATTCCATGATCTGTTTGTGTTGGGCTTTGCTGTGGTGTGGGTGGGTTGTAAGTTTGTTAGGGTGGGAATGCAGAAAAAATATTATCCAATTATTCCAATTCAATCACATCCACGTCCTTCGTTTTTTCTGTAATTCTAAATCTATCCTCAGATTATTTGTTTTGGTTTTGTTTATTTTATTTATTCAGGACTTATCAGAATGACATGTTGCCAGATTTCATTTCATTATATCTTAATTTCTAGGAGTAATTTAATTTTTTTAATATTGATTAAAAAAAAGTTTTTAAATGATATATGACATGTTTGTGTCACACACTCTGACTACTCTCACGTATTCGTTCTTATTTTTATTGTATTTTTCTCTTGGTGTTTACTGAAAAAAAAAAATAAAAATTTGCATTTGCTGGTACAATTATCAGTACCAACTAGTACCATTCATTATTGTCTGAGCATTTCTATGAAAATTAATGATGATGAGTGCCAAGTACCGTTACGTATTAGTTTAGTTGTCAAATAATTGTATTAAAATTACTAATGAGTCATGGATCAAGCAATCTTCTTAGTTTGACTTCAAATTAAGGTCAGTATTTCTATCCGAAAAGAAAAAAACAACAACGTCATTATGCGAGTATATCATTATTAATTTCCATTGCCAAACTTATTTGCAGCAGAGTAGTATACATTGAGAGATACATTGGTACATACTGCACTAGTGATCAAGACTGTCATGAATTCTGCCCAAGACATAAAGTCCAAAGAGTTCCAATATTGAGGTTAATAAATAAATAAGAACCCTAAAACTTTAAGGTAATAGGTTTTGGGAACCCATTTACTTATTAATTACTCTATATTGCTCCTAAATATCAATGTGAGACAATTAACTTACTCATAATATCAACATTCAAGATCAACTTTTAATAGAATATCAGAAGTTCAAATCTCTCGAATACCCGCTGCAAATATACATGTAGCACTTTCTAATCACGTCATCCATCGATCGAGAAAGTAGGATCACACGCGTAAGAGTTCATAGCAGTATCTTAAAATTTTAAGTGCTTACTCTTTTAGATGACGCGGAAAATATCTTATAATTGTCAAAGCTTGGAATTTATTTCATCTGTTCTGAAATAATTGTCCAATTTGGAGTTTCTCTTTCAGTACAAACTATACTAGAAGTGGCAATCTAAATTGGACAACAATTTTAAGATAGATGAAGTAATTATTTAAGAAGAAAATGACGCAGCAATTAAACAATGGGAAAAATTTCACAAACATCAAGGGAGTCATAAGCTGCGGGAGCAGAAGATCACCGACGTATAGGTGTTATATTACCCTGATGAGACCTTGCTAAGATGAAGCAGCAAAGTACGGAATTTAGCAGAAAGCGACAAAAAAAACCCAAGTAGTTGTACGTACAATGGGGGCCCAAGATGGCTGTAAATTTACTCCTAAATATTCATCCGCCAAGCGAATCTAAAAATGCACCGACACAAAATCCAGAGAAATTAATTAGCTTAGCTCCGCAAGAAATGGTTAATTACTCATAGAAAAGGCTGCGAAAATATTCAGTTGCGTTGGATGGTTGAAAGAGATGCAGATTGACCAATTCGCCTTTGGTTTGTATTACAAGATCCCCTTTGTGCTGGTACGCAGTTCACTCTGACTGTAATGAGACTTCAAAATGACCAAATATTTATCACTTATGAGAAGAAAAGGAGAAAGTAATTAATCAATGGTGTTTAGTATACCGTCTAACTAGACTTGTTCCTTAAGCATAAATTACTTGTCTTAAACTCATTAATTCCACCAACCAAGAATATAGGGAATTAATATAGGGTCAAACTGTTGAGCGCCTTTATTTTCTCATTTGAGCGTCCTCCGAAAGACGAATACGCCCTCTGCATAGTGGAGGTATTTTTTTTTTTTTCAAAAAAAAGGGGAAGGGGGGCGAGAGATATATGCGCCAGCCGAGGAACATGCCAAAGCGAGACAACCTTCATCTTTGGTGAAGGTGGTGGCGCCAGATTTGGCGCCACCTTTGTCCGGGTTAGCGAGCGTTTGCTCGCCAACCAACCGATGGGTGGCACCCAAATGGGCACCACCCTTTTTTTTTAATTTAATTAGTTTTTTTATTTTTTAATATATTTAATTAACATTATTTAAATTATTAGTTTAATAAATTTATTTAATTCATGTATTTATTTTATTAATTTATTTATTTTATTTGAGTATTTGTTTGGTAGTTTAATATTTATTTAGAAAATTTATGTTAATTAGTAGTTAAATAGATAATCTATCTTAATAATTAGGGTTTATGACATTGTTTTATAAAAAATATTTAACTTAAATATTTAGAGAATATTTTTTAATTACGTATTTTGTTCATAGGTTGTAGTTGTTATATTAAATGAGTTAACTTTTTGTTAATTATGTGTTTAGATTGTTATATGTTTAAATTATGTTAATTACGTAGTATGTTCGTATGAAATAGTTTGTTTCTTGTTAAATAGGTGTTTAGGTAGTATGTTCATGGGTTTAAGGTTTAGGTGTTAGGGTTTATGGTCTAGGGTTTAGGGTTATAATTGTTATATTAAAATAGTGAGTTTTTGTTAATAATGTATTTAGTTTGTTATTAGTATATATTATATTAATTAATTATCTTTAAAGTATAAGATCATTATATCGGATTATATATTTTGTTTTTGCTTATAATGAATTATTTATGGTTTAATATTATTATAGTTAATTTAAGTTATGATATAATTCATTTTCAATGTGCAGGATAGGTTTGATCAGGGAGATGGATAGGATTATAGTTCGGCTTTTGCTACAGACGAGGCTTTTGGCACAAAGCGCCTAGCTATTGCATATGCGAAGGGTATTGCGAATATGTACAACATGGAGTTAAGTGTATTCTCGCACAAAGATAATAATACTATACTCCTTTGTCATAAAGGAGGCCTGTACCAAGGTCAACATGTGGATGAAAACGTGCGCGCCCGACCCAATACAAAGACACAGATGACCGGATGTCTTGTTCGGGTTATTGTTTACAAAATATATGATAGGTGGCGATCCGTGTATATCCCGGTCCGTGGGAAATGCACAACCATTCACTGAAAGATCCGTCTCGAGTCAGGATGCCACTGATCGCAGAAGTGAAAGAGCTTATTCAGGAGTACTCTAAAGCTGGGACTAAGGCAGTCCACATTTTACGGGCGATATGGACACAATTTCCTGATGAAAATGTTACCTCCAAACAAGTCTACAACTACAGAAATCAATTGCGTAAGGAAGGGTTCCCAATTCTGGATGACATGGCTTCCATGGACGTCGTGAGAAAGGTGTTAGAGGTCGCAGAACAATACAAATACATCATCTTCACGGAGTGCGATGAAGAGATACAGAGGTTATCCCACGTGTTTTTGGCTCATCCGGATTCTTTGCTGCTGTCGCAGACGATCCTTGGGTTATTTGTGTAGACTCCACATACAACACAAACAAATATAAAAATGCCCCTTGTGGAGTTTGTTGAAATGGCCTCTTGCAATCAGACCTTCCTTATAGCATATGCTCTTCTGAGTGATGAGATGGGGGACAGCTACCATTGGGCACTGTGGCAGCTCCGTAACTAGTGTGGCGATGATCTACATCCGAGTGTCATCGTGACTGATCGGGAGCCTGGACTGATGAGGCCTCTTGATGATGTATTTCCATTATCACATCACTTGTGTACATGGCACGTTTACAGGGATGTTGAAAAAAATGTGAAAAGAATTTTGAATGGAAATGCGAACATAGCAAAAAGTTTCGCGTACAAGGCCTTTAATACTGTGATCGAAGCTGCAAATCGAGAAGATTACGAAGAAAAAGTGAAGCTTCTGGAGCATAATTGGTCCCAATTTATACCCGTTCTAAAGTATGTCGGGAAAACATGGTTAGTGGTAGCGGACAAGTTTGTGCAGGCATGGACCAACACTTATTTGCTTCTTGGCAACACCACTACTTGTAGAGTGGAGAGCACACACAAGTTGTTAAAGGAATGGCTTGGCACAACAAATGGTTCTTTTGAAACGGTCTGGCACAGGGTTCACATGTTACTCGAGACACAGTTTACACAAATAAGGTACTGGATTTCGACGTTACATTCTAAATTATGGTTATAATATATATTGTGTGTTTAGTTTATTTAGGTTTTTTTTTTTCATTCCTCCACTGGGAGAAATTACAAGAATCAAGGCAGAAAATAGGAGGCAACACAACAAGTACCCTTTCTACCAATTGAGATGCAACGTTTCACACTACTGTTTGGATCTGTTGAACAATGAGTTGGAAAGGGCACAACAACTCGGAGATGATGTGTTTTGGGAATGCAATCATTACCTGAAGCGAACTCATTCGATCCCTTCTGGATGTATTCTGAAGTGGGTAATGGAGGACAACGAGATTTTGACTCCAAAATACTTACACCAATTTTGGAGCACACTCGACATCGGTCAGGTTACAGAGAAGGATAGTTTGGATGATATTTCCCCTCACAGATTGTTGTTCAGGCAGTTAGTGGAAGAATTGGACGGTGCTGAGGAGCCAATATAGCGCGAGATCACTAGATTGATGTACAACAAACTTCACCGGGGCCAAGCTGGATCGAAACAACTGCGGGTTAGAAAGAGAGGCAAGGGCAGGCTGAAGAAAGAAGGCATCTCAAAAAGAAAGCAAGACAAACCAAATGTGTGGGCATACAGGGACGGCAGTCAGGGTGGGACGAATACCAGCGGTTCCAATAAAGCAGGTACTAGCCAAGGTACCTCGTGTCAAGGTGGGACGAACACCAACAGTTCCAGTAGAGGCCATATGTTGGGAGCTGAAGATCCTACTAGAGGTCCGATATTAATTTATCTTTGTTAATGTGCGAAATATCCTTATCATTTAATTCTTATATTTTTGTTTCATGGCGTGCAAGCACAGGCACATGGACTAGGTTAGGTGGGACGAACACCAGCAGTTCCAGTAGAGGCCATAAGTCGGGATCTGAAGCCAATGTCGGAGGTACGATTATAATTTATATTTGTTTTAAATTCTTATATGTAATCCAGAAATAATGAAATTATTTTACTTGGTTAAAGATGTAATGCAGACAGATT